TACCCATCCTGAAAGATCTGTTATTGGGAATGAGCTTATTAAATATTTGCATTAATAATATGCACCCAAAATTTTGTGTTTGCTAATGAAATCTGGAGATGATGAAGTTGGCAGGCAATATTAAATCAGTGAAGAATGGGACTCACACAGGGAAAAAAAAAAAAAAGGAATCCTAGAGTGACAGAAACGGGATGGAAGTGAACAGAATAAAATGTTAAACCTGGCCTTTAAGAATTAGAGAAGCGACAGAGCAGAATGAGTTAGGTGTGTTTATAACCTGATAAACTGTCTGTGGACAAACATTTAATACAGGTGTGAGAAAGGCAAGCGAGATCCCCTTCTCATTAAAGCCTTGGTTGATAATCCTGGGAGTTACTACTGTTTCACTAAATCTTGGTAAAACTTCATCTGAAATGTAGGCTGCTTTTGCTCAGGAAAGGTTTATTCTGACTAGAAAAGAGAAAGATTACATGGACATATGACATGGTGAACCCAGAGGATGGACTACAGCGGACCCAAGCATTCTGGTTCTCTTAATGTTTGAAGTAGGGACTAGGTCACTGTGGGCCCTTGCTCCCCTCTGGACCCTGCCCCTGGATTCTCTCCTGCACAAACCCAGATGAAGGGTGGGTGGAGTGCACCTCAAGCACAGTCAGACTGAAACTGGGAGTTCTCCCAGTTTCACCCCACTTACATGCAGCTTTGCAAATTGTCTTTGCAAACTGTCTCTGAGATAGAATAAACCTGATGCTAAAGCAGCAGCAACCAGAGCTAGTGATTCAAAACAGGTAGAGAGAACGAATATTGTTGAAGCTGGAACTTAACTATTTCTGCTGTGAAATGTTCCAACATAGACTGATAATCTTTAAAAGGTAGTAAGTGCTAGTAAGGTGGAAAGAGGCCAAAGTGATGTGAAGAGGGTGTGCCTGTAGAGACAGGGCAGCAGTGAAATTATGAGAGATAAACCTCCTAGACTTCAAGATCCTCCTCTCCACACACACACAGATATTCTGTATGTGATAAAATGATAAAGATGCCATGGGATAGCTTGCTTGGGTGACACTGATGGCTCCCTTGAAGGTCACCTGATGCCAGGGGTAGCCGATCCCAGGTAAAATGAGCTTGGGAGGAGTGTATTTGTGACAATCTCAAGCAACTTGATAAGGAAGATACAAATACTATCGTAAGAAACAGGGAGAGACCTTGTCTTCCCCTAGAACTTGGCATTCTTGCATAAATGGAATACCAAAACAGTGTGGAGTGTTTTTGTAATATTTATTTTCAGTGTGAAGACAGTTTGTAGCATGACAGACTGTCAAAATGCAGTGTTGGACCAGCCCAAATGGGCCGTCTCAGCGAGGGAAATGCATTTTTTTGGCTCTAGAGAAGAGATACTATGACAACAACCTGCTAACAATACAACACAAAGCTTTTAAATACTAAGTAGTAAACACTGCATTTGGAATGGCAATATGATCTTAGAGATACTATGAAGCAAAACTACCCAACGCACTCATAACAGTCTGAGAAGCTGGAGCTGATATATCTACTGTCATCAAAAGGTGTCTGATACAGCCTACGGCGTGGTATCCTGTACCTGCTAACCTAGAAAGATGGGCACCCCTGCCACTGCCATGTTCCTATCACTGTGAAATTGTTTTAACATTGATTCAGTCAGAAGGCTATTGTCTACATTGTTCCCAGTTCCTGCAGCAACTGGCTATTTCCTGAGTTTCTGCTATCACAGAATAACCAAACCTAACTTCACCCAGCTTATGCACTTGGTTTGAAAAATGTTTAGTCTTTCAGTACTGATGAGCCCCAAGGCCAGAATGAGCTCAGAGTTTCTGTGGATGTACCAGGACATGAAACTAAATAGTTGGTGTATATATCCCCTGCTGAGTTTTATTCTTTTCACTGTGTCTTGGATTATAGTATGAAAGTGGTGTCCTGGGTCTTCAACCCAAATTCCAGCTCTCACAAGCAGCTTCATCATACAACCCTACTCATAAAACAGTATCCTAAAACCCAGGTTTTTTGTTCCCCCTGTATTCACCGCTTTGATAGTTAGAACTCTTCTTCTTATTTTCCAAATACACTTATCAAGATTCTTCCGTCCTGTGGTTTAAATGGTGACATTTACCTCAATTAATTCCTAAAGCAATCATATCCTCTCTCAGTCGCTCTTTGGTTTGCCTCGACTGCCAAGACCCTTCATCAAGTGCATCAGACATAACACAAAGCAAGACCCTTTCAGATGCACCAGCTGTAAAGTGCGAGTTCCAACATTTGAAGGCGGGTTGATCCAGCCCTTCTCAAAAGCTGGTTCATAGGAAGGGCAGCAGCCAGCTCCAGTAGTTCTGTAACATCAGTGGCAGAGGGCCGTGCTGCCGAGAATTCAAACTCTGCTGCCAACAAGCACAGTGAGCCTTCACACCAGCAGCAAATGGAGATCTGGAAGTACACACTAAATTGTTGCTCACTGGGTGGTGGAGTTTTTTTTTCTTCACAGACACTAACGTACAGAAGTGACAACCCCACTGTTAGAGCATACAGTATATTCTCCTATATGTTGCAAAGAGAATGATAGAGAAGAATTTGAATAATTGATGACTAACCTAGCAACACCTGACTATTTTCTAAAGTAAATTATAGCTGATTTCACAGTCAACAGCAGAATATTGCTAACACCCTGCCATCTTGCCTGGATCCATTGAGGTTTCTAAATACAATATTCCCTTCTCTGACTTTAACTCTACCCGCTGTCAGGCCCCATTAGGTATAACAAGATCCAGACAGATTCAAGATTAAGCAACTTTTTTATAAAATCCAATTGAGGACTTTCTTACCTTGAGGGTGCAGCAGATATTGCATTAACCAGATTGTGCACACTTTCCATGCAAGAACTAAAGGCATATATATATACGCACAGTGACTTAATTCTCTTAGGAAATAAGCGGGGGCTTTCTAGATTCCTCCCACCGTAGACATCATGATCAAGCTCGGCTAATTGAAACCTTGTGGAAAAAGGGTGTTCCTTAGCAAGGCCTTATTTTTCCAGAAGCAATATGGGAGTGCTGTTGTCTAGCGTAGGAAGGGTGTGCAGATTATTAAGGCAGTAACAGTCACGTGGAGAGAGGGAAACCAGGTTTTAAAAGCTCCTTACTGGCTAGGCTACAGCTTCAGCTCCCAGAGAGACTGCAGTCCCAGAGTGGTGGAACCAAGGAGGATCCCCCTTTCAGCCATCTTCCATCTCCCCACAGGTACCAGGGAATGGGACAGAGACACCCCCAGTGCTACCTGGTGAGTCTGTGAGGCAGCAAGACAGCTTCAGGGCTCCGTGGCTGCGAGCAGAGGCTCTCCTCATGCCCGCAACAGAGCTTGTCCTTTATTTGCTATGGGAGAATGGGTGCGCAGGCTCACTGAAACGCAGGGGAGCAGGGGCATATTGGGGGCACTGCATATAGCACGGGTATGTATCTGATGCATGTTGCAGCAGTGACTGATGGATGGTATTGGGAGTAGACGGTGTAGCTGCGCATGAGTGTAAAAATGTGGGTTGTACTGCATGGGCAAACAGCAAGTGTTTACAGGGTACTGCGCAATGACTGTGCACAGGGGAAGTACTTGCAGCACGTATGGCGTGAAGTGTCAGAAAGAATAGAGAAAATGGTCTTACATGGTGTATTTGGAGAAGATGAGGGCGGGAAATCACGGAGTAACCGAAAGAGAACAGAGGAGCTGCGTGTCCTAAGCATACAATTGCTCTGAAACAGTGTAGCTGGCTGCTCAAATACTTCACCCAGGTGAGGGCTTCAGGATCCGAGTCACAGCCTGGATCTTGGTGCTTGAACCAAGAGCATTTTGTGAAGGCAGAAAATCTGCAAATTGTCAATGGACAATGTCTTTCTAGCATCCTTGTAGTCTGTGGCCTAAAGAGAGGAGGGGAAGATGCCAATATGCGAGCTTTAACTCTGAGTTGGGATGCTTTTTCACATGCCAAGTGTGGAGGGGAACCTGGTATTCCCTGCGAGCCCTGAGTAGCAACTCTTCACATATTACAATTACAATACTGTATTATCACTCCTAGCAGAGTGAGTAAGAACAGAAGGCTGCAACATCACTGAAAATCCTCTGTGATCTGACCTATTCTCGCTGATGCCGGGCAGAAGGGAAGCTATTTAACACTGGGGAGGGGGAGCCAGTTTCTGCCTGTTGTGCTCAAATTTTATTCCCTTAACAGACACTGAACATAGAGTTACTGCTCCCAGCTGTAACAGGAAGAGCCCCTGAAAACCTCTTTCTGCAGCTGCCTTCAGCCAACTTTTGGCACCAATCACTGTTGTTCTGCCAGCTAATTCTTTGCTCATTTTTATAAGTAAAAGACTCAGGTCCCGTTTGGAATAGCAGTAAATAGTTAATGTCCTGCAAATACCTCAGCCTGACAGCTGAATCCTACCAGCCCCACACTTGCCAGGGCAGAAAACGCCGGGCACCCACCAGTCCTGGCGTTAGCGGTGTCCAGCTCTGCCATTCAACCTGCAGCCCACCAGGCTCTGATGTCAAAAGCCAAATTCTACCGTTTAACCAAAGGCGCGCTAGCAGACAGGGGAGAGCTGCCTCCGTCCTGCAGCTCAGCCGGGGCAGGAGGGAAGAGAGCAATCCCCGCTAGCTCTACCTGTAACCCGCTTACCGGCGCTTTCCGATCGCTGGACCAGGGCCGCGGGTTTTGCCTGGCGGGAAGGAGCAGCTCCCAGCGCCCCGCAGCAGGACGAGCCCCACCAGTCGCCTAACTCCACGGCGGAGCTGCCGCCGCCGGGCGAGGGGCAAGCGCCGGGGCTGGGGCTCAGCCCGGGAGGCTACGGCTCGGTCCCCCCAGGTGCGGCGGCGGCGGGGCGGGCTGCGGGCAGCGCCCGGCCGCTCCCCCGCGGCGGAAGGAAGGGCGCGGGCAGCCCCGCTCCCCGGGGGCACCCCGGTCCCCCCTCTCCCGCCTCATTTGCATGGCTCTTATTACGGCCGTGCCTCGCTCCTGCCGCGCTGACACCGGCGGGCTGGAGCGCGGAGTCGCCTCCAGCGGGAAGTGCACTTCCGTTATCTGCGCTCCCACACCCCGCCTCGCCCGCTCCCCCGCCTCAGCTCGCTCTCTCTGGATGTTTAAGGCGAGGATGAACAAACAGATCCAGCCCGACCGCAAAGTGTCGGTGGTGGCCCCCTTGCCGGACCGCGCGGGGCCGCCGCCCCCGAGGAAGGACGTGGAGCTGATCCTGGTGAAGGAGCACAACGGGGTGCAGTACACCAGCAGCAGCCTCCTGCCCGCCGCCCCCGCGCCGCGCTACGGCGCCCAGGACAGGGAGACCTGGGGCAAGAAGATCGACTTCCTCCTCTCCGTCATCGGCTTCGCCGTGGACCTGGCCAACGTCTGGCGATTTCCCTACCTCTGCTACAAAAATGGAGGGGGTAAGAGCACCGCTTGCGAGCTCGGTTTCCCCGGCCCCACGCCCCGAAGCCGCACCGCCGCGAGAGGCGGCATCCCCCCCGCTTCTCCCCATCACCTCCCGCTGTTCTTCCCGGAGTTGCAGGGGCAGAGCAGGAGCCGAGGCTCAGCCCGCGGTGCCCGGGAGCGGCCGTGCCGCTCTGCCCGGCGCTGCCCCGCTCCTCCCTCCGCCAGCCGGCCCCGCGCGTCCCGGCCAGCCCCGGACCCGCTCCCGGCCCGCCCGGGGAAGGGTGCTCGCACACCCCTCCGAGTTTAACTTAGTTTTGAGCACAGGCGTATTTGCCTTCTGCTGCCGCTTCAGCTTGCTTGACACTTTTTTTCTCGTTTGCAAAGAATAGCATCGGGGCGAGGGGGGAGGCGGGGGGGTGGGGGGGGGCAGAACAGAAGCACACACAAACCAAAAACATTTGAGCAGAAAAAATGGCACCAAGAAAAGTTATTGACGGACCACTGAAAGGTTTCTTGGGGGCGATTTTAACATGGCATGAGGATTTCTGCCCTCCATTCTGCAGTTTGGGGGTTCTCTCTCCCCTCCCCCTCCAAAGTAGGTAGGAGACTTGTTACAAAACAAAACCTCACCTCCTGCGCAGTTTGGCAATGACAGCAACAACAGCAACAAAAAATAAAATTACAATAACTACGGTTAGCTCAGATTGCCTGGCACATCTTCAGTAAGACCTTAACTCCATCATCCCCTTTCATCTCCCCGAAATACGCGGTGTTGTCAGCAATGACTCCACGCTGTGATGGAGTAACACCATCTGCAAGCCGGGCAGGTGCCTGGGGTGCTCTCGAATCACACATCGGAAGAACAGACCCTGCCTACCAGATGGAGGTCTGTGCCTGAGAATGGTGAACGATACCAACAGAAGAGCTGCTAGATAGAAAGAATGTTCTGTAAGATAGTTATGTATGTCTTTATAATATGGTTGCCTGGTGATAAAGGCTAATGGTTCACACTTGTAGCATAAAATACTTGCTTCCTGTGAAGAGAGGGATGCAGGGTGGGAAAATCCCTATCAATTAACATAGAATTACACCCTTCCTTGGAACTTAACAGGATGCTTAGAAAGGGCTGGTACCGAAACACTTGGTCTAGTTTGGTACCTCCAAAACTTCTGAGAGTCAGAAAAATCTCTCTGCTCACCACGCAGACAGATTGAAGAAAGTAGTTAGTACTGAAAAATAACCTTCATCCTGATTTCATTACACCCAAAAATAATTCTAGCCATTCACACCACAGCAGAACAATGCATCGTGAGCCCGGCAGCTTGTGTGGTGCCAGGCGCAGGTGTGGCAGCAGCAGCATTCCTGCCACTCGGGGCATATGCACCGCTGCCAGATCACCAGGTCTTCTGGCAGCTTTTAGGGAAAGAGATGTATTGCACAAGGGGACACCCAGAGTGCTTGAACTCTTTCTATTGTATTTTGAGTCACTTAATTTCCTAACCTGCCTCCTTGACAATTTGCTACTGGCTCAGGCACAGGAGGTAACAGTCTGCAACAATCTTGCATTTCGTTTGATCTCCGTGTATTATCTTATGTCAGTTCAGCTAGAGAAACCTGGGTCTTCATTAGCATCTTTTAATTCAAATACTTCCAAATTACAGTGGAGAGACAGCTAACTACTTCACAGCTACAAGTGGCACCTTTCAGTGAAAAGTTTGCACCAATTCTTCCATACCATCAAAGTGAAATCAGACCTTTACAAGCAAAAGTAGAGCGGCCCTATGCTAGCAAAGTCTATAGAATGACTGAGAACTTCTTATGGATACAGAGATTATAAACACTCGTTTACTCTGCTCTTCAATAGAGAGCAAACTGCACTATGAAGCATCTCAGTCAACACCCAGGATGTCATTCTTGAACACATACATAATATCTCAACATCCTTTACTGGCACTTAAAAGACTTATTTTACCATAAAATGAAAGATAATCCCAATGGTCAAAACCCATCAACAATGGGCTTTTCCTAAGGAGGTGTTCTCATGGAGGACATCAGCTAGCTAACCCGGACAAACACACATCAGCTGTGGCTAATAGGGGGACAAACTAATTTTTAGCTTGTTTGTGTTTGGCTTAATGAAGTTTAATCATATCTAGTTATTGTTTTTCTTTTTCTGTGTTGTTTGATAGCATATGGCCATCAGCATATCAGCTAATAGTATTCAGTCATGACAGAATTTCCAGGATACACCTTGACTGAGAAGTGGGGAATGGAAATATAGCCAGGGACTGGTTAACAGCTCTCTTCCTTCTCTTTACAACAATTAGTCTCTACAGTATCTTAAAAATTTTCCATCCATTGGCTTCCCATGTTGGACATATATATCGATTTTATTTAGTAGAAACTTATGTAAGAGATTCGGGCTCTAAAAGTACTTTACTGGGTTTCAAGCCAACTCAGTCCCTTCTCTCTTTCAAACTGGGTTTGGAAGCTTATTTGCTCTATGGGTGAATTTTCCTACAAGACCAAAGAATACGAGGCAATTGGCATAGCTATGGGATATCCTTGGATTTCGTTGGTATCTTTCCAGTCCTAAATCAGAGATTTTCTTAAACACATTTTGTTCTCTTTTGTTTTTCCCACACACACACTGCTACTGTGGGACGGAACCTTTCTAACACTAGAGCAAGTTTTGCTACCTGAAAAGAATAATCCAATAGGTTTCATATAACTGCTGGATTATGTATCTCCATACAAATAAAAGTATTAATAGACATGGAGAAAATGTAATTTCATCATTTTAGTAGTTTTGCTGGACTGCTGAGCAAACTAAAGGGACCAAATCAGGTGGCATTTGTATATTTGTATAGCATGTTTAGACTTGCTCTTTAAAAGAAGTTATACAAGATGCTCATAATAGGGTTACAGTTTGCCTTTTGATATTTATAAGGAGCTACTAGATAAAGGAAAAAAAAAACAGTACAGATTAAACTTGAGTTGGATGGCATATATAAAGTAAATCAGTGGGAGGAAAAAGTTTATCTCTCCTCTTCTTCCCTGAGTTTCTCTTTATTCTGAAAGCCTCAGCAGTTTCTCAGCCTGAGCAATTTAACTAGGGCTGACTTTAGACAAAGACAGTCAAATGCAGGTTCAACAGATTGACATAAAATAGGAAGTGAAAAGGAACCATGTTGCAATGTCACAAGTCCTAAGCCACTGAAGTATTTTAACACTTGTTTTCAGCTTAGCTTGTGCTATCTAGCAAAAAGATATTCTGTTATCCTTCCAATATCTACACCCACAAAGGTTCTACAAATGCTCTTAGATGTTGAACAACAGCATCAAAGACATGGAAGTGGTAGAAAATGGCATCTCCTTTTACATCTGAAAAAAGTGACATGAGAGACATGTGGACTGTTACGTTCCTAAGACTGGGTATGATTAATTTAAGATTCCAGCAGACACACTAAGGGCCTTTCCATGCTTGTAAAAATAGGTGGTTCTCAATAAAGCATGAGAACTTACAGGAACTCAGAAGGGAAGTATAAATACACACTGTATTCCCTCATTCAAAGTTGAATTTTACAAGGACATGCATGTATATATACCTCCACTTTCTTACTAGCCAAATCCTTGAATTTCTCTCTTTGATAAACTCCAGGGAAATTTCCTGATTAAAAACTAGACATACAAGCTCTTGGGTTAGATCTTGAAGTTCCACACATACAAAACTCTGATAGTTTACTTCAGTGAGTTTTATTTACACAAGGCATACACTGCCCAGTGGTAATTATATCGACTTCTTTATGTTAGGTAACTGGAGATAGCACCAGTGGTGTTAACAAAAAACCCTATTTATACTTTAACAAGCTCCCAGTAACAAAAAACTAGAGAGTAAGAAGCATCCAGCAGCACTGAAATGCTGAATGAATTGCCAGAAACATCTGTGTTTTGGGAGTAGCCTGCTGAGAGACCCCAATGGGACTTCTGCACAAAGATAGATGGCAGAATGTAACCCTTCTGTGAACAACTGTGATTTTTGGAAACATTCTTCTGCTATTAAAAAAAAAATAAAAAATAAAAAATCCCCAATCTTTAATAAGATCTAAAAAGTGAGAGCGTTTATTTGTTTGTATCAGTTACCTACTTCCATAGGACTTGCCTGCCTTACAAGGGCAAAGACAGATCCAGTGGCTGTATTATAGTATGAAACGAGCCATGGAAAACTTTCAGGACAGTTCAGTACGAACAGACTGGATGAGATCTTTCTCTCACTGACTTCTTGGAAGCAAGATATGCCCACCATGTGCTCTGAACTACTTTATAAGATGATAGGGAGGCTCTGTACAGACGGTAAAATTCTGCAAGCTCTCATTAAGCAGATATGGCAACACTCCAGAGGGGGGAATTCTCAAACATCACCTTGTCGGCAAACAAACTCCACAACTTGCATGTATTTGACTGCTGCTTGCAGCACAAAGGAAAAACACAGTTTGCGGCAAATCAAATACTTTTTGTGCAGTCCATCTGTGAGAGTTTCAAGGAGCAGGATATGTCACTGGAGAAATCATCAACTACAGTCATTTCTACTGGCTATTCTCAAAAGTGCTATATCCTCATTATAACTCATTTCTGGCAAGAGCCCATTTTTTTTTTTTTTTTTTTAAAGAGACTTCCTAGCTGTATGACTGACTCTGTAAGAGGTCAACATCAGTGTCCTCAAAACAAGCCTTTATAACCCATCCAACCTTCTTGCTCCCCAGTTCTGTAAGAGGCTATGCTGAATTACAAAATAAGAAGAGTATTAAAATCAGACTCTCATCAATTTAGGGAGAGACTTGCCCTGATATTTGGACTACATCTAAAATTTTACTGATGCCAAATGAAGTTGAGTAATGCCTAGTATGATTAACTGATGTGCTCACAATGGGGGAGGATGATGCTCAGCCTCAGTTAAATGTAGTTTTTGTACAAGATACTTCTAGTATTAATCTTCATTTTTGTTTCCTTCAGT